CTCTAAAACAGGATAATGCCACCTCTTCATATCATGTGACCACCGTGCAAAGAAATGAATTAAAGCCTACATGGCACGTGGATACTAGTGAGACAAGAAAGATAAAAAGAGCAAAAGGAAATTAAATAGTCCTGTTTACAGAACAGCATTTGAACTGAGTGAATGGTGGTATACTTGTTTTATTAACTGAGCTCTGAAACTTAGAAAGAAAATACAACAAAATTGAGTACTACTTTAACTTTAGAGACATTGTCATACTGTCCAAAAGGGGGAATTAAGGTTAAAGGGGGGAATCTAAGGTTATACAGAGAGCCTTAATATTAAAGTTACTTAATTTTGAGTGTGTGACCTAGCATCCCTAATAATATTATTTTAACATATTTTTTAATGTGTAATTATTTATAAAGCTCCAGACAGTAGGTGCACATGATGCTTTATAGGCATATAAAATTGTCTGATCCCTGCCCCTAGGAGCTTGCGTGATGACACCACACAAGGGATGGGAAAAGAGGGGGTATGGGAGGACAGGGTTGCAACACTGTGAGATCATGAGATGTACTTACTGCTACATAAGCAACATTTCAGCTTCTCTGTGGTTTTCTTGTTACTCATTTAACACTATATATTAAAATCTGGTGAACAGATACATAACACAGAGACATCAACCGTAAGAAAGGATATGAATAAAGAGAACTATGTAGTACAACGTTCAGAGTCAGCAGTTAATATTAAAACATTCACAGCCAAACGTTGCATATAGTCAACTATTTATACGGTTTAGCCCTTGGCACCTCCAGCTGAGGTCTGGGTTCTGCTCCACCAGGTACTGTACAAATGTATCATGAGATACGATAGCTGTGTTATGGCTTTTACCATAAAAAAGCAGTCAGTGGCAAAAGGGGGTATCATGGACAGAGAGATCAAGTTGGTTTAACAGGTAGAGCTAAGGGTAGAGTGTTTTGACACTTGTTTTGATATTCTAATTGCTAATTAATATGTGTATTTAGATCACTATTGCTTGAAGAAGAATCCTAAAACCAAACCGAATCAAACAAAAAATAGTGCACTTGCAAGTTGCTCCCATGTACTGGAAAACAAAACCATAGAGCAGCTTGGAAACCCTAGAATCCATGTACCTTCTTTTAGAAATTTCTTTTTCCCTGCTCTGGGAACTGAATGAGAACCGAGCTCTGCTGTGGCTATCATTTCTGTTTGTCCAAAGCCCGTGGTACATGTCATTTCTGATTCGGACATACTATTACCCTGCTATGTGCCGACAAACCTATCGCATGTCAAAGACTGTATCCTTAAATGCTCACAAGTTTCCTTGACTTCAGCAGACGAAGAACCTGACGTGATATTCTGATGCTATCAGGCATATCAGTCACACAGAGATCACCCAGGACACCCAGTAAACAATTCTAGAAACTTGAAGAAAAATGAATTTAAAACTAAACACACAATTAACTAAAGTAAGAAACATGGCAAAATATTCTTGATCTCCTGAAGCACAGGCTAAGCCTCTGGACCAAATGTAGGTAAGAACTGTGGACTTGATTCTGCTCTTCACTGCAGTTCTTCACATTTGCATGTGTAAAATACTACCTGGATCTTTTTATAGCCCTTTACACTCTAAATATAATTTGCTTCCACTTTAACGGTACTTCTCACAACCCACAGAGTACAAAATGATTTTAGTACACAGCATTATAAATTCTTAGGAATTTGTTATTTCACTGGGTGAAAAGCCCAAGTTTTAGTCAGTTTTACAATTTAAAATTACAAGCTAAATGTTTCCATTACTCTTATTAACCTTTTTTCCCCAAGCCTTGGCCAAATTAGTCACTAAATAAAATTTATGGCTTTAGTAGTTTTTAGCTTCAAGGAGGACTCAGATTCACTGCTGTTAACCACCGCTACTTTACAGTAGCAACATGTTCTTCCAATTTTCTTTGTTGTTATCTTCCTTTTAGAATTCAGTTAGATCTTGGTACATGGATCACTAGTGTACCAAGAAGAAGATGGAAAGGAATGAATAAGCTCTGCGCAAAAGTTTCCATTAAGTTTTGTAGCTTATGAAATATATTTAAAGCTCTGTATAGCTTGGTATCAATTATTCACATTTTGACTTGTCTGTGGACTTAAGAGGCTGGTTTGGTCCTGAAAGCAGCCTGTTCATCAAAGAACTTTGTACAATTTCAGAGTTTCCAACACATTTTATTAGCGGGGTGGCAGCTGTTCTGACAGTGGAAGTGGAAACTGATGTTCTCCAGATTTGGATGTACTCAAAATTGTACTCAGAATTGATTTATATCCAATTAAAAAAAGAATTGCATGCAAATAGGTTAAAAAAATTATTTTTTCCTTCCTTCTATGCTTAGGAAGTGGCTTTTGAAAACTTAGTAACTTGACCTCAAAAGGATTTAGAGAAGCACAATTTTCAAAGCTGTTTTGTTTACAAAGATAGGTTAGGAGTGGAATTAGATTTACGTTCAAATATCACTGGCACATTTTAAAAGTTATTACTATCAGCATCACTGTTATGTCAATCTAAGAGGCTGATGACATAAGATTAAAATACATCACAAACGTTAAGTTTTTGCCATACGCTAAAGCTGATCTGAAGAAATTTTGCCTTCCCAGAGCCTAAAAAATAAATAGTATTTATGAAAAACAACTGCATTCTCCAAACAACAACGACTGTATCCTATTTTAGTCCCAAATCATTCCTTTAAAATTATGGATATATTAGATAAATACACAATATTTAGCACAATAAAATCACAGAAAAAAATAAGTTGGAAGCCTAGTCCAACCTCCTGCTCCAAGCAGGGCTAATTTCAAAACCAGACCAGGCTGCCCAAAGCTTTGCCTGCATGAGTTCTGAGAATCTCCAGAGACGAAGATTCCTTGACTTCTCTGGGCAACCTCTTCCACTGCTTAACAGTTCCCAGTTAATGGAATTTCCTCCTTATATTCAATTTTTATTTCTTTTAGGGCAGCTAGTGACAGTTGCTTTCTGTCCTTTCACAGTGTATTCCTGAGAATATCCTATGAGAAGCCTCGTATTCTTCCTTTGGTTTAGGAAAAGACTGCAATCAGATCCCTCCTAACCCACACTGCTTTCCCAAAGTGAACTACCTAGTTGATTCCCTTGCCCGAAATACCCCACGTGCTCCAGGGCCCCAGCCCTCTCAGTGGCTCTCCTCTGGACCCTCTCCAGGTTGGCAATCTCTCTCTTGGACTGAGGGCCCAAGGCTGGACATGAAACTACAGCACTGGTCTCACAACAGCTGAGGGGGGGAAGTTACCACCTTCCTGATTTCAACAGGCAGTGCAGCATACTATCCTTCCAGATTCCTCTCCTTTGGCTCAGCAAGACCCCTAAGCAACAGTCCTGCTGGACAGCTAATGAAACGTCCTGCTGTCTCTTCTATGTGCACTCTTTCCAACTAGTAAAAATTTTGTGTGTTTGTGTGGCAAAGAAAAATCTAAATATACAGAATATATATCTTTGGCTGAAGGAAGAGAATACTGACTTTCAGGAGGGAGTGTGTCACAATGACCTATGGTCAATCTTTAATTGGTTAAAAAACCAGAAAAAGTTCCCCCCAAATTGTAGATTATTAATATTGTTATTACAGGGCTTTGCTTTGATGTCTTTGCTCAACAAAATGCTAACTTCTTCCTCCCCCACTGAATGTGCATGTGTGTTTTTCTAGCCAGTCTAGATCCTGCATTTTGAGGAAAGGTGGAATAGCCTATTTATCTCACAAGGATCAATCTAAGTGATCTTAATTGCAGTTACAATACTAGCCTATCTAATCCTTCCAATAGAAACTGCTTCGCAGCCTAAGACGCTGCAAAAGGACAAATCACAAGAAAAACGTGTTTTTGAGCAAGTATCTAAGTGAGGCTTGACCCTGTCCCCATTGATACTAATGGATAAAGAAAAACCTTAAGATCATTCCAATAGGTTAAATACTGACTTTGGCCTAATTCATCCCTAAGTTATCCCCCACTGCATGATCGAAGATGAAGTTCTCACTCAGAAATGTGTGGAAGGAAATAACTAGGTCATGATACATACCCTTATGAAGGGGCTACAGATTAGCAGCTAAATGGAGAGAGACCAGAAAGCACAGACTTTGTGTCAACTGAGAATTCAGAGGAATTTCTGGCCCCTGTTCCATGACTCTGCAGCATCACACAGAGCGGATCCCTGTCAGTATTACCAGGCCACCCTCCTTGCTGGAGGCACAGCTTCCTATTTAGCCAGTTTGTATTTGCAAAGTCCTATAAATTTTGGGTTCCCTTTGCAGCCCTGCCACCAACTATGTGAGTTTTGGCAAACTAACAGTGTCAGAGTCATTTGTGCTTGAAGGCAGTTCCTAGTTAAATTCCAGGTTCTTGTATTTTCTTGGAAAAACTGCAGAAAAATGTTTGTTTATGTGAAAATAAAAAACAAAAAAAAGGAAATATGCTGAAAAAAACCATCCCAAGGTATAACGCCAGTGCAGGTTAGCAGTACGTGAATATATATATAGATACATGCACACACTCCCAAACCAATCTCCAAAGTTCACTGCATACAATCATTTTCCACCTGGCTTGAATTTTCCATTATATGACCTCCATGTCATTTTTCTGGATCAACACATAGTAACATTTTAAACACTTCAGATGCTATCAGAAGTACAAAATAAACCAAACTGTAACAAAATTATTTCAGACTCCTTGAAGAAATCAACTCTGGAGGGCAGCGGGTCTTTTGCAAGAAATGAACTACAAGTTCAAACAAAAAAGTGACCTTTGCCTGTTGCTACAAGTATGTCACTGGAGGGGATTTGGCAGTGAGCGTTCCACTGGGAGGAGTCACTTGGCAATGGTACTGGTTTATGAAAGAGCAAAAGAAAGTATAAATTGGTTTTCTTAAATGATTCCCTACCAGGATGACATGCAAGATATTTTCACAGAGCTGGTGGCAAGTAAATATTTACCTCTGTGGAGCACTATCAGATCCCACGCTATCGCAGGAGGTGTTCTTCACGGGACATGTCTCTGTGCCACACATCGCATCTGCCTCAGCTGAGTCCATGTAACCATTGACCAGCTTGATGTCTCTCAGCTTCATACTGTCATTTTGTGAATCCAAAGACACAATGTCAGATGGGGAGCTCACAACACCCGAGTCCTCTGTGGTGTCCTCAGATGCAAAACAGCTGCTTTCTGATGCCGTTTCTTCCACCTCTGATAGCTCCAGAACTGTGTCATCCACTACATAAACATTATCATGTGCAGACAGCAGGCTCTCTAAATGAAATACAGCAAGGAAAGTTAGCTCAAAGTCATCAGTACATAAATCAGAGAGCTATTCTTTTGTAATTGGAAAAAACCCACATGAAATACATTAGAAATAGTAGGAGGGAGCTCAGTATTTGTATATAAGATAAAGATGATTTGAAAAGTGACAAAAATTACGTCCTTCGCTTTTAGAAAGGCAGTTTGCTCTGCCAGTTCTGTGGAATTTGGGTTTTATAACTTTCATAGCATATCAGTTTCCCTAATTCTATGAAGAAACAACTTTCCAGGAACAGTTTCTTGGGGAATTGACCCAAGTTTAAATGATGCGGTTCAAGAAATCACTCTTGTTATTCCTTCTGTCAACATAATCTCATTGTTCCTCTTCCATTCTGCCAAACAGGTAATGATATTTCTAATAAGAAGTCTATATACAGGTAAAAACAGGCAGTGTTTCCCAGACAGGATACTGAATTGGTAAACTAGATCTACTGCTGGCCCACTGGGTGTCATTTATTTTACCAACCTTCAATATTTATTTTGCTTTAAGTGGGAGAATAACAGTTGTCTATTTTTCAAAGCATATAAAATCTACTAATAAATGTAGAGAAAAGCAGAAAGTGTCATGCCTAAAGCAGAAACTTTTCCAGTGTTTAGTCACTTATAAAGGAGATCAAGGGATATGCCCTTTGCATGTTCAATTCTATTAAAAGTTGCAAATTTTGAGAGAAGATTAGACACAGTACAATTTCTCATACTCTGTTTTAGTTCGGTCCCTGTGAGCTACCCCCTTTTCTGTTTGTTTGTTGGCTTTTTGTAAAAAATAGAATTTTTTAATTTTCCTTAAGAAAAGTACTCTAGACTCCACCATGCAATTATACTATTAAAGGAGAACTCCCAACAAGGTCAATAATTTCAATGACTGAAATTATTGAGTGATGAAAGACAAGATCGAGCCCAAACATATGTCTCCTGATCAAAAGGAATCAATAAAGACTAATCTAAATGTTTAATTTGGAATTATAAGTGTGGAATTATAAGCCATTCACTTCTACAACCTCGGTAAGCAAAAGAAAGATTAAAAGTGAGTTTATGGTCTGATCTTCCAGACACTTGTGGTGGATGTTAATTACATGAGAAATCCCAAGTCTATAAGCATGACTAAGATTAAACATACACTTCACTGTATTTTATGGTCAGAATCTACAACTTTTTGAGGCTTACATGAAGCTACAGCTCAATAAAAATTATCAACAGAGAGAAATACTTCTGAATTATTTTGAATACACAAAAGTATTTTCTTTAAGTCAGAGAACTGAAAACAATTTTGTTAAAGAATGTCACAGAAATAATTTTATAAGGGTGTAGCTTAGCAGTGAAACTTGGAGTGGAACCAGAATAAAAATCAAGCCAACATTCTCCTTGACTGAGGTTACAAGATGCCATTAAGTACTGAAATTGATTTCTGACAGCAGAAGCAATAAAATTCATAAGGTTGCAAATCATGATTAAAGTTTTAAGTGCTGTCAGGCATCGGTATTAATGATGGAAGATGATCCAAAGACTCTATTGCAACTTTGGAGGAAATGTTATTTGATTTCTTTGACCTTATTTTCTGTAACATTAGTTCTAGATTCTAGATTTAATCCAAGAGATCATTCCATTTTAAAATGGCAATTACAGGAACTAAGTGTATGCCACTGAATGGATTTGAGGCTCATGACAGAACTACAGGTAGGAAAACACTAACATGAAGCATAAATATGAATAATTTGACATTGAACATCAAATAATAAAACCCAAAAAAACCAGACAGTGAGGAAACAAGTAATAGTATATAGCCTTCTTGGCTTTTAGACAAACAAAAAAACCCCAATAACAACCCACCACCAAAACATTAGTAAAAGCAACAATATGTTAAAACCAGGACAAAGTAGGATAGCAAAGAAATCAATTTAAAGAGTGGAAGTTGAAGAGTGGAAGCACACGGGAAGATTTTGAAGCAATGCACAATGCAGTATACTTTGATGCAAAGAGATCTCTATATAATACGGGCCAGATCTGTTGTCACCTGGATGCAATGAATGACCTCTGCCCTACAGCTGGCACAGCAATTTATAACAAAGGACCTACTCCCAGATCCTGACACCAGGATGGCAGCCTTTTCCTCCCTAGCTGTCTCTCCCATTTCCTCATCCTCTTCTTGCCTGCCTGCAACTATTTCCTGCATCTTTCAGCTCAGGGATTTAGATCCTTTTGGGCACATGGCCCTACTTGGTATTACTGTAGTAATAACACTCGAGGCTCTCCCTGCTCGGTGGCAGGATCTCTACCCCCAGCTCCTTGTTCCCACATACTGACAAATAAAATGAAAAATAATTCTCTTATTACCAGGGTCCACGTGCAAGTTAATCCCTGTTATGTCTAGATCTTGGCAGCTGAATCACCCAGTTCACAATAAGAACATTCTCATTCAGCGGCAGTTTTATCCTGAAGCAGAGAACTACAAACAGATATCTTTCTACTGAAGTAAAACCAAAATGTCCCCCGTTCTTCAAGCCTATCAGTTTGTCTGATAGCACTTCCATTTTATCTTCACCGAGAAGATTCATGAATTTTTAACACAGTTAACGCATGGCACTGAACAGAGTTGTTGGCTACTTGTCTGAACATGAAAGCACACATATAAAGCATGACTATGATGGTTCTGTGTCATGTTAACAACCTTGTTTCAGCTAAGAGCAGCACTAAAACACCCCTGTTTTAAATCTGAGCCATTCTTTGATGGATTAAGTAAGAACTATTTTTCCTTCCACATGCTTGATTAAGTCTTCACTGGGGCAAACTGAAGATGGATGGGCATTACTGGGTAATGATACATGACATGAAAAAAGCCTACCTCAACTTTTCTGAGTAGTCTTGACTTTAGGAGTAAGGATATACCTTATAAAACTTTCTAATTCTACATGGAGAATAGGGTAATATCCAGTAGTAGATGTGATTCAGCCTTGTAATTTTTGCATATTTTTTTCTCCGAGGGGATGCACCTGCATAAAACCACCACACACTAAACGCAGTGTGATCACAATGATGGCAGTTACTGAGGTTATTTGCTGGTCGAATAAAGAAAAATCTCAACATTTGCTTCTCTTTTCTCTTTCATAACACTACGACACTTTCAGATTCTGATCTTCACAACCTCGTGCAGACATATCCAGCTTCAGAAAGAGCATGCAGCAACTGCTTCAGGACTGAACACACAAGTAATAACTGCCACAGATAACGTATTATTGAAACACTTCTGTACCTCAGAAGACTGAGTTTTCAAATATATAAGTCACATGTGACCCCATTCAGTGGCATCAGGTGGGGTGTGATATTGAAAGGGGTGTAGAAGTTGGCCCACTGTCTCCAAGTCATTCTAAAATCCCCGTGGGACATCTCACCCACAAGTGAAACTGGAGAGAGTCCGTCAATGCCCTGCATTGCTGCTTACCTATGTCCTGCTTCACGCTGCAGACACTGCTAAGCCCAAATGAGTGCTGTAGAAGGGATCTTCCCAGATTCGCAGCAGCAATGCTGTCGCTGCACAATTAGGTCAACCACACGTTACAAAGGCTTTCTTGCAGAGGGGGATGTCTGTTTGCAAGAATGTTGCCCGTGATCATCAAGAGGGAAAGAGAAGAGCTCATGAGTAAAGAATGTGAGCTTCTTGTTTAACACAAAAGAAATCTCGTTGCTTTAATCTCAGTAGTCTGTAAGTAATTAGGAAAACACTGAACTCTGAGTTTAGAGGAGTCATATCTGCACTCGTGCAGTTTGATATCGCATATATGTACACATTACTCATACAGAATGCCAATGATGGGGAGACAGATAAACCTCACCTTGTTTAAATGCAAATCAGCACTTTCAGAAATGAAGATTTAATTCAATAGTTAAAAAACTACCATGGGTAAAATACTCACTTTGATTACTACTGTTAAAATAGCCATCATCGAATTTGAATGAGACTAGAATCAGACCTAAGTGTTCAAAAGATGCATGTCCCACCTGGACTCACAAAATCAGTCAGCAAAGCCCAAGCCATCACTCCTTCTGAGACCAATGGGCACAGGGCGTAAGTCGTAACTGTTCAGAAAGTGCTGTGACCTTCTGGTTTTACAGCACTGCTGGTGGTTTATTGTCACATTCAATAATGACAGAAACAGTACATGCAACAGCATTTCTGAAGATGTAACAGTTGATTCACCCCTACATGATGAGTAACCTGAACTTCACAAGGGTTTTAAGAGACATAGAGTTCCTCTAGCTCATCTGACTCTTGCTAAGAGGTTGGTAATTGTTTTACAATTTCTTTCATCATTTGTTCCACTGCCAAAAAACTTTCTTTTCATGGACTAAAAATTGCTTTACCATAGTTCAAATAGTCTATTATAATGAAGTTGTAAAAAAAATTACAAACTTCTTGATGTTAAAAAATATTAATTCTAATAATGATCCCCAAATTAGAACATAATTCTTTCAATGACAGTACTTAAAACTTCTAGCAAGAGAAAGGAACACTGCTCTAATTATTTGTATGGGCAGTAAAAAGTTAGACTATCACCAAAGACCAGTACTAAAAAATTGTGCACTTTTTTTGTACACTTGGAAGAAGGCTGATGGAAGAAATGGGAAAAGAAAACATTTGTGGTGCCAATTATTTACAGAGATAATGAAAACAACATAGATTAGCTTAAGAGTTTTCCTACAGGTACAATGTGTTCTTGTTACATTTTACTCCTTCTGCTCATCAATCCAAAACTTTTACACAGAAATAAGTGTTAAAGACTATTCAGTGTGCAGTTAAAGCACGAGAAAGAATGGGTGGTCTCCCTATCATAATTAAAACTATTATAATTCAACATGCTTCTTAGCATATTTGAGCCTACATGCATACATTATTTTTTAAAAAAATTAAAAGAAACAAAGAGAAAATAAATGCCCACTGTTATAGACTAACAATAGCA